GTAATGGCAATATGTGAAAGCCAATTTTAATCAATCCCAGAATTTGTGGGCTAGCATATCTTGATAATCGACAATCTGGCAATCAAGCTGCCTCGTTCACAAATATTCTTCAGGGAAGTGAACCTGCCCTTGCACTTGTGTTTAGTTTTCCAGGTTAACACCATGCAGGTGATTCTTACCTTGTTCTGACATGGTTAATAACCCACACAGTCGTGTACACTATAAAAAACCCAATGACATCTTCCCAAACAATGAAGAATGGACATTAAATGCACTCTTGCTCATACCTTGAGGAAATATTTTTCACATTGCTGGAGACATGTTTCAGAATCTTTTCATCTTACACATATCAGGACAAACACAAGAATGTCAAATTTCAAACAATTATGACAATTTACGCTACTAAGGGAAAAAGGGTGCTGACTGGTTGACAGTTGACTTTGGCCAAGGCATTGTCATGAAGAATCAATGGTGCAATGCTTGAACATATTCCTTTTGCTTACAGAATGTAGGGACTACATATGTTTCGTTTGATATATAAACTGGAAAGTTGAAGTTTGGGCCACTTTGTTTCAGAAAATCAACTAGTTTTATTCTATTATGACTTGAAGGGAAAAAAAAAATTGAACTGCATGGTCACTTACTGGTTATAAAAAGCGCGTTCATTTTTTTGTTAAAAGATGTTGAACTTTATACTTTTGATAGACAAAATGGCACCTAATGCTTTGAGTTGAAAAAAAATGTGCCCAGCGACTTTGTTTGGATTGGCAGTAGCAGTCTGTCGCAGAACTGAGAGCAGAGAGAAGCAGACGGACCTAGACCTCCAAATGCCTGCAAGTGAGAATCCTCTTGTTCTTTCTCTCTGTGTGTGTGGAAAAGAAACAAGACCCTGCAGAGAAAGAAGACTGCTAACTCAAACCAAGGTTTGGGTCCAACTGACCAGCTACTGATTTGAGGAATGCTGTGGGCAACAACAATGTGACCGTATGGCCAAAAAATAAAAAAATGTGAGAAAGTCACATTATTTAACAACCTCTGATTCGGACTCGTGATCCACGGACTTTGTTCCGTTCTATTTGTATTTTCCAGCCAAGATATTCCTGAAAAACTCTTTGCCTCATGTATCTTCCTATCCCAAATGTGAAGGTGTATGCGCATGTTTGGATTTGAAGGCAACATAATTTAAGTTTGTGTATTAGTAACTTCATAAAATCCCTACAGTGTGGAAGTAGGCTATTCAGCCCATCAAGTCCACACTGTCCCTCTGAAGAGCATCCCACCCAGAACCAACCCCAACCCCTACCCTATCCCTGTAGCCCTGCATTCCCACAGCTAACCCACCTAGCCTGTACATCCCTGGACACTATAGGCAATTTAGCATGGCCAATCCACCTAACCTGCACATCTTTGGACTGTGGAAGGAAACCAGAGCACCTGAAGGAAACTCACACAGACACAGGGTCTGGAATCAAGCCAGAGTCTCTGGCGCTGTAACTTGTAGTGCATTTTGCCAAACATTGGTTATAATAAATAAATTTTTGTTTTCTCATTCATTGAAGAGACATGGAGTTGACAGTTTATTTTATTTTAGATAGTGGTTACAGTCAGGCATTAACCATCCAGTTGATTAAGTTGATCATACTTTACACTTGTGACTACATCACAGAAAAATGGGGCTTGCTTTCCTGTGCATTCTTCCCTTTGGGGTCATGACAGAAGAGTGCACGAACAGATGTCCCTTCTAACATGCGAAAAAGCCAAGTTATGAACTTGTCTGATTGCCTTAAATTACATGTTGGTGCTAGTAGCACACTTAGGAACGTTCAGCAAGGGCTACATAATTGCAGAATTACATCTAACAGCAAGGGTTTTGTTTTGGATTTCGCAACTGCAAGTTGGTTGACTATAGTCTAAACCCTTCCTAACATGAATAATCAATAGAACATGCTGTATGCTTCAATCAACACTCAATTGGACCTTTAGCTTAGAAACCAGGCATCACACTGGTGTTGAAGTTCTGATGTGGAGGTGCTGGCGTTGGAGTGCAGTGAAAAAGGTCAGAAATCAAGTGACACCAGGTTATATATAACTAATTGTACTCTACTATCTTATATTTTCTTTCTGCTTCTTCTTATTAAAATGAATCATTTCACATTCTCTTCATTAAATGTCATCTACTCATTCACACATTTCACCAGTCTGTCAATGTTCTTTGAAGTTCTATATTACTGTCCTCATGACTGAACTTACTTCCAAGGTTTGTGACCGTTTGCAAGTTTTGAAATTATGCCCTGTACAACTAAAGTCATAGCTTACAAATACATATATAAGGAAGACTCTAACTTTTGGGTACTCTTCTACTAAACTTCCTCCAGTCCAGAAAAAAAAGTTAACCACTAATCTATTTCCTAACCTTTATCCAAGTTATTCCATGAACTTTGCTCATAAGTCTATTATTTCCACAGAATCCATACAGTGTGGAAAAAGGACCATTCAGCCCAACAAGTCCACATCGACACTCTGAACAGCATTCCACCCAGACCGATTCCCCGACCTTTTCCCTGCAACCCTACACTTCCCATGGCTAACGCACCTAACCCACACAACCCTGAACATTATGGGAAACTTATCATGGCTAATCCACTTAAATTGCACGTCTTTGGACTGTGGGAGGAAACCAGAGTACCTGGGGGAAACTCACACAGATACAAAAATAACATGCAAACCCCACACAGACAGTTGCCTGAGGGTGGAATTGAACCCAAGGTCCCTAGTGCTGTGAGGCAGCAGTGCTAACCACTGAACCACCAGACCAAGGAGTCTATTACATTGCACTTTTATTAAATATCTTTTAAAATTTCTGTACATACCGCACCAGAATGATCACTGGTATGGAGGGACTGTCTTATGAGCAAGTGTTAAACAGATTGGGACTCTACTCTTTGGAATTTAAAAGAATGAGGTGTGATCTTTTTTAAACATGTAGGAGTCTTAAAGGGCTTGACTGGGTAAATGTTGAGAACATTTCCCCTCATGCGAGAGGAGAGGATCAGAGGGGACAGTCTGAGAATAAAGGCCAGCCAGTTTAAAGCTGAGAGGAGAAGGAATTTCTTCTCTCAGAGTGTTGAGTGTCTTTGTAACTCCTTGCCACAGAGAGCTGTGGAGGCAGAGTCCTTGTGTACTTAAAGTTGAGATCAATAGATTCGTGATCAGTAGTGGAATCAAGGATTATGGGGAAAGGGCAGGAAAGTGGATACGAAGAATGTAACACCTGCCATGATCCTAAAGGATATCAGAACAGGCTTGAGAGGACAAACTGCCTACTCCTGTTCCTACAGCTTATGGTCTTAAGGGGAGGTGACAGCCTTGTGGAATTATCACTGCACTGTTAATCCAGAAACTCAGGGTAATGTTCTGCAACCTTGGGTTGAATCCTACCACAGCAGATAATAGAATATGATTCCAATAAAAATCTGGAATTAAGAATCTAATAATGACCATGAATCAATTGTCATACAAACTAATATTCTTTAGTTAGGGAAACTACTATTCTTATTTGGTCTTGCCTACATGTGACTCCAGGTCTCCAGCAATATGGTTGGCTTTTTAGGGATGGGCAATAAATGCTGGCCTAGTCAGTGACACTCTCATTCTGTGAATGAAAAAAAGTCACCAACGCTCTGTTACTCATCAAAAAATACATGCAAGTTAGTGAAACACAATATAACCTTTACCTAAGTGACTTTGGCTATTTGTAGGAATGCACCATGTTCAATGTTGGGTTTATTTCCTAAATAGATTACTACTCTTAAAAGTACTAAAGTAAGCACTATGGGCAGATGCAAAACTCTTTTTCATTGGCAATAACATTATTGCATTCTCTTAACGTTACAAAATGACCTGATCACAATGATTCTTAAGCAATGTACTCATATTGAATTACATTCATAGGTACAGGACCAATCAAAATATACACTTCTAATACATGTATTTAAGTTAGCTAATATCAAAGCGATGCTAAGGTTACTTCAACTGAATTTGAAGGTCACATTTTAACTTTAAAAGAAAATGACCGATGGCCAGGACAGATTAAGTGATGCTTTAGATATAGTTTAAAAAAAAACCCTTTGTCCCATGATTCATCATGTCTAACACCATCTTTGTGCGGGGCATAATTCTACCACCTAAATACCAACACAATCCAGTTCATGAGGTGCAAGTGAACTTCTGTTGACTCTTTTTAATTTTTATTTGAAGAGAGCCAAACCATTATTTGGATAGTGGAGTGCAGAAAAAAGCAAATTCAAAGTGTCCCGCCAGCCCCCATCTTTGTAGGGGGCACCGCCCCACCATCTTACGCCCATCCATCCCACAATTCCGCGCGCAGCCACGAGCCGGCGCCATCTTTGAAGGGGGCAACAGCCTTGCTTCCCCTATGACCTGCTATCATTTAATCTAAAGTACGTACGTTCCTTCGTGTTTTCAACATTGCGTACAGTTCTGAAAATGCTCGGGAAGAGGAGGGAGTGGGAAAGGGGGGGCGTTCAATCTACTGTATTACGATATTATAATCTCGCCGAGGGGTCCATTTTTTGAAGGCTAGGCTGCGAACCTTCAGAGTTCCCCGAAACTCACGAACGTGTGGTATAACCTTGGCCGCAGGATCCATCTTTGTGGGGGGCACCGACTCCTCCTCAGTGGAGAAACCTGCCCGATTAATTTCTCAAGAAGCTTTTTTTTGCGAAGCTTGGCGTCTCGTCCCTCAACGTCGCGTGGGACGATAACGGAAGCTGAATAAAAAAAGTTTAATCGCGGGCCGTCCATTTTATGTTACTGTTGTTTTGGTAGTGCGTGTTTATTTTTGAGGGGGAGGGGGTGAGTCCTGCTGGCCCCATGTGCTCGAAGGAAAAGGGGGCGGTTTGTCTTCACCGAGCCGATCGCGTTTACGTCACGGGAAATGCCGAGTAACCACCTCGTTGGTATTCCTGTGTCTCTGTGTTTCTTTTTGAAGTGGGGTGGGGTGGGTGTTGGCGGTGGTTTATTTAAGGGGCCGCTGTTTGTAAGCAGCTCAACGCCAGGATCCTTCATCCTCTCCATGTGACGGCGCCATTTTAGAGACGGGGGGCCGAGGGCGCGAGGCGGCTCCACAATCCTCCGGGGCAGCGGGTGGCCGCCATCTTAGTGCAGGGCAGGAACCTCCCCGTCCCCATAGCCCCTTAGTTTGCATTCCTCCCCCCGCCAAACCCCACCCCTTAATAATTCACTCCCATATTATCCGTCATTATTGCTACGATCGAAGTGACACCCTAAAGAGGTTTTGAAGTTTTACTTCCTACCCCCCCACCCCACCCCCTGCCTCTCAGCTGTGTGTTTGTGGCAGTGGGGGAAGGCCGCCCCGCTGTATCCCACAACCCTCCGGGCCGGTGCCCGGATGTGGACGGTGGACGATGGCGGCGCCCAGCGCAGCGGACTCCCCGAGCCGGAGCTGGACGAGCGCGGCGGCCGAGACCCCGCTGGACATCGCGGCTCCCGCTTGGGCCGAGGTGGCGGGAGACCCCTCCGCCGAGCCGCCTACCCCCAGCTGGACGGGCGGGGCAGCCGACAACCCGGCGCCCAGCCCCAGCCGGCCTGCTGCCTGCCGCGGGATCTCCTGGACCCCGGCCGAGACCAACGCGCTGATCGCCGTGTGGGGGGACGAGAGGCTGCAGGACGTGCTGGAGGGCAACCTGCGCAATTCGCATATATTCGACCGCATCTCTCAGGCCCTGCGGGAAATGGGCTATGAGAGAAGCGCCAACCAGTGCAAGGAGAGAATCAAGGTACCTGAGACTCTAACTAGTGAAGTAACTAGCAATCAGCTTATTCAGTACTTTATAACTCGCGCTCTGTTGGGTAGGAACCCCATGCTGCAACTTCGTTACATTTATTAGTTTCATGGTGCTAACTAATATTTTGTAATTAGTATCCTGCAACTATCTCACCTTTGCGTCAATAAGTTTCTGTAACTAAACATCGCGGTTGTTAAATAACTTGCTACAACCACCATACATTCTGTAGCCAGTAACTTGGCTTTCTGCTCCTAATTTAATATTCTGCCGCCAGTAACTGCCTTTCTGTTCCTAATTTAACATTAACTAGGTTACGCCAACTGGCTTAATGTTCTGTAGCCATTAGCAGGCCTTCTGCAACTCGTTAATTGTTGTGATTCTGCCGCCCGTAGCTTTGTGTGACTTATTTACTGTATACCACTTGGTAACGAAAACGTTTTATTTTGTTGATTCCGATTAGGTTATTTTTAGGACGACTTTTTCTTTTAGGGGGTGATGGTAGGAGAACATTGAACAGACCCGCTTCTTTTTACCTGGCAATGGTAACTGGTAGAGTTGCTAGAGTAGATGATTAATATCTCCAGTCCTTGCAGTACTTTGCTTCTTGGCTAAATGGAGTCTGTATGTTGTCACATTTAACAGAATTACCATATTTATAATATCTTTTTTCCTCCATCCCCCAAAAAACCCTGCAGCTTCTTTACAATCTAGTTGATGCCTGTGTTTTATTGTTCTATATTCAGGCCATGTTTCTTCTTGCATGAAACAGCTAACATTTTACCTACCTTTGAATGTTTGACCTTTTTATCTGATTCCTGCACTGAGTAATTTTTCAGATTTATTTTTAGGTTCTTGTATATTTTCAAATATAGGTGTCTGTGCCGCCACCTTCTAACATTAGTAAGGCTGGATTTCTCCAGTATCCCCTCACTTTACTTCACTTAAGCAAGAATCGGCCTTGTGCCTCCTCTTTGGACTGCATCCAGGGCTTGAATTATCATGCCCTAGTATTTCAAATTGACTGCAGTATTCAAGGTGTGGTCCGACTAGAGTGTTATATGGATGAGAGTGACTTCTTCCAAGTTGTGCTGTTATTCATATGCGTTTACTTCAACTGCTCAATTAAAGGCCTGTTCTAGAATAGTCTAGTATAAGTACAGAACTAAAGGGAGTGCTATACCTTTTGAATGAGATGCTAAACTAATGCCCCTCTTCGCTTTACAATGTCTCTCAGCAGTACTCCAAATTTATTCTTCAGCCAATGTAATAAAAAATTATCTACTATCCAATTTCAGATGTTTGTAGGGTCTAATTGTGTGCAGTGTGTAGTTATCTTCAAGGAATTAACTTTACTTTAGCTGATATTACTCCCTGATATTATTCCGATTTCATAAATAAATAGTATCGTTAAATAAAGCTGAGGCATAAAAATATTTGGGTTTTCAGTTAAAAAATTGTTGATAGTATAATGTCCAATTAGCCAATATAAAAAATTCAGAAGTGTAACAGATCCTTTAATTTTGAATGAAAGACCCAGTGAAGTGACTTTTTTTTTGTTTTACATTCTGGTATTAAGATGACAAAGTATACCAACTTGAGGCACAATAAAAGATAGTCTTTGTTTACAAATGAGATAAAAGGAGGTGAGAAGTTCTCTTCTAGAGAAATGAAAATAGGCAGAGAAATGGGCCTCTTCTCGTGTACTGTGTCCAGTTCTGGTCTCCTTTTATTAATACAAAGGATATTATTAAACTGGAGACAGTTCAGAAGAGCTTTACCAGAATGTTGCTGGGAATAGAGAGTTTGAGGGAGAGGGTGGAGTGGCTGAGACTTTCCTTCCTGGAGTGAAGGAGGTTGAGAGGTAACCTTACAGTGGTTTATACAATCATGGGGGGTATAGATAAGGTGAATAGCAATGTCTTTTGCCTAGGGTGCGGGATTTCAAGACTAGGGGACATATTTTTAAGATGAGGAGAGAGATTTTAAAAAAGACATGAGCAGCAGTTTTCTCAGTGGTTGGTGTGTGGAATCAACTTCCAGAGGAAGTGGTGGATGTGGGTACAGTTACAATGTTTAAAAGACATTTAGATAAGTACATGAATAAGAAATGTTTAGAGGGATGTGGGCCAAGTGCAGTCAGGTGTGATAGTTCAGTTTGGGATTATGATTTGGGCATGGACTGGTTGGACTGAAGGGTCTGTTTTCATGCTGTATGACTCCATGAAAGTCCACAGCAGCTCAGGCAGCATGTATGTGAAGGGAATGATCACTTAATGTTTGGGGGAATCTGCTTTCAGTCCCTTAATTGTTTTTAAAGTTAGATTTTGTAACAAATCTAACAATGTTACATTCATAAACAGAATTAACATTCTAAACCTGAATCAACATATTACTACAAATAGGAAACCAAAGTAGATAATAGGCATGCATTTTGCAACTAAATCCACAATTACTAATTTTGGCCTCAAAAGCAACTTACTTCAATTGACATTATACATTTAGTAGTTCAGAGCATGTGAGCTCGTATCTTGTCCCTCACTGATCTGAACTTAATGCCTCCTACCTCATTTGCCCTCTACATAACCAAATAACTTGTGCTTTGCACATCACCAATTTTTAACCTAAACTGCATGAGCAGCAGCATACAAAAGCCTGAAAATAACATCCTATTCTCAACTAGTGGATTGCACTTAAGTCTTCAGTTGAAAAAGTGTAAACTTTTATTTATGCATGTCATGGCTGAAAATAGTTTACAAACAATTGACTACTTTTTCAGTGTAGTAGCCCCCAAAAAGGCAAATACAATAATCAGTACTTGAATATCAAGGATCCACATGAATAAACATGAAAGTAATCCATTTGCTGGTGGTCACCTCGGCATTCTCTGCTATTCTGACAGTGCTTCTACAGTCGGCTGAATAAGGCCTTAGTCAATGCCCCAACTGAATGATGGTTTGTTTTCCAACCATGCAGTTCTCCCTAACTTGGTGCAACCACCTGAACCAGTAATGTGCTCCTTTGTCCTCTAACCACCTAAACCAAGAAAGAATGCCATACCGTGACAAGTATTCTGCTGGCAAACCACTAAGTAATACCCTATACTTAAAGCCATAAAAAGTATGTAAATACTCAAGTAACATCTATGGCGAGAAGCAGAATTATGTTTCAGGTCAATGACTTTTTTTGTGAACAGTACTAATGCTTCTTATACGATCGCCATATGTACACGCTGGGATGCATTTCATTTCTTTACTCCCTCTTGTCCATTCTTGCAATAGTGGTATTGGGTACTTCAAAGGAAATTGCAGCCACTATTTAGCTAGTTGTCTCTAGGGTCAAAATCTTCTATTTGAATTGTTAGGTTTCAAGTCACTGGGTTATTTTTTTAAAAAAGCAAGAGTAACACATATAAAAGACTGTCATATCACATCTATCCAGTATAAAGTTAGAATAGTAAAATTAAGAAATGGTGAGGGTGCTCCATTTGGGTAATGTGTACCCTGCAAGCTTGAAGTACTGGGGTTGAGTTAATCATGGGTAGAATGATAATTGTGCATTAGTTATCTTTGAACTGTTGCTTGATCAGAAAAGTGGGGCTTCAAAGGGGTGACCCTGGTCTCAATACCATGCTAGAAAGGTAGTGTTGAATTCCACTTTTAATTCATTTTTTGACCTTTTACTTTTAATTCAAACTCCTAATCTTTGAGGAAGGCATCAAATCCTTAGCCAATCTCACTAAATTGGGGTATTTGACCTGGAGTACATCTTATTTCTCTCATCCGTGTTCTGAATTGCTTATAAAGTCAGTTTTTTGGTGGACAAGAACAGTGTGTTCTATGCAAATGGATGCAAAACTAACAACTCTGAAATGCAGCAGAGGTGGAACTGCCTGTGAAATAATCAACATTTTTTAAAAAAAGTACATAACAGACTTTGGCAGAATCATCCATATTTGTTTCACCACCTACAGGTTTAAATTTAATGTGTTGCATCTTTCAAAATGCAACAAAGTAATTGAGATTTAAAGACCACAATCTCATTATGCTTCCACTCCCACTATAACTAAAAACATGTAAATGTCGGAATACCTCTTGGTTTTAATTTCACTTCCTAATAGTAACAACATAACTTTGTAATCAAATGGTTTATGTATTGGTTAAGACAACAGTGACTATCACTCAATGTAGGATTTAAGAGCAGGGGTCCCATTCAACACTTTGAGCCGGTTCTATTCGATAAGATCATGGCTGATTGTGGTCTCAACTTGACTTTCCGGGCTACCTCAATAACCCTTGACTTCCTTGTCTATCAAAACATCTGAGTAAATTCAATGACCTTCCCCTCTGAAAATAGGATTCTATAGACTGATGGTTCTCTGACAAATTTTCATTTCCCAGCGCTATTTTAGACCAGCACTCCATGGCTGCAAGGTAAATTTTATTTTTAAGTCAAAGCAGCATACTTCTGTTGTGTAAATAAAATACTGTAGATGACGCTGATTGCCAGTTGTTCCACTTGTGATGGAGTTTCATATAAATCACTAGTTGTAATGTCTCCTATCTCTGTCAAATAACTATATGTTAGAGAGGCACCACAGATCATTTTGTAAGGAAACAAGTCAGGTTATCATTTTGTGTGTGCACCCTTTGAGGGAAGTGTTTCAACTGTAGACTTGTGTGTGAAACATTACCTGGCCTTTTCTCTTCAGAGATGCTGGTGGATCTGGTAGCATCTCCAACATTTCCTGTTTATATTTCTTTGGGAATAGTCTTGTCGAACAGCTCTATCCAAAATTTCCTGTCCTGCTAAACGAGTACTCCTAATATTATCCTGACGCTGACACAAGCCACCGTTTCTTGTTTGTTACTGGGTGAGAATACTGGAGTTCGCTACCTAGTGTGATGGCAGGAGCACGGATAAGCCACTCAGCCTGTTTGGGAATCAGTCAAAGAAAATCACCTGACTGATATTGTTCATGTTCCCTTAGATTAAATAAAGTTAGTATTTTTGAATGACTATTGTTAAGTGGGAAATAACACTCGATATACAAGACCTTTTAATGATTTCCATTATCTCATATGCAAATTCAATTCTCAACTTAGCTGTGTGCAGTCTCAATGGATGTGTGTTCTAAAACTACAGGGGTATGTATTCAGGGGTGCCTATTCTTTTGCAAGTATATTAGTCCTGGTGTGAATTTTTAGTTCTGGACTGTATCCAAGGGGAAAATAAGGAATTAGTGTTTATTGTAATTTGCTTATAGTAGCCCTTATGTGGAAAGAAGCACAGCTGTGTTCCATGCATAATGTGGTAAATACAGCGATAGCAAAACTAGTTGCCTGGCACTATTCTGTTGTGGGAGGTGTCTTTGTCACGCAATGGTGAGACAGTGCTAGTTTTGATATTGCAGGAGAGCGTACCACCTCTTCCATCTTGCCTGTTTTGCCTAGGCATGTGCAAGATGATCAAGAATAATTGAATAAGTTAATCTTTTCACCAAAAGAAATTATTAGGAAAGTTTGGGCTTTTAACATAAAGAACTATGAACTGGAGGGGAGGCCTGGTTGGACAAAAATTAATGATTCAAAGAAACTAAAGTGTGGATTTCTGAATCTGCCTGATGGATGTATGGGAAGACTGAGTGAGTTGAGGTGTTCTGCAATTCTGTAGTTTCAAGAGAGAATGAATTGTTGTGATGAGTTATGATTTCAGCTTGGAGATGATGTACTGATGTTAGGGTCTCACTTGTTTTCTTTTTCACACAGACTCTAAAGAGGTGCTATAGTCGGGTAAAGGAACGTGGTCGGGGTAAGAGAACCTGTAACTACACGTTTCAGCAGCTGGAGCAGGTCTTCGGGCGGGTGCCAGTTGTGTGGGAACCGAACACCTATCAGCCGGTTCTTATTGATAGCAGCGGACTGTACCAGGACGCAAAATCAGACACTATTAACCTGGATGACAGCCGGGAGGTGCAGCCAACTCAGTTGGAAGATTGGGGAAACCAGAAGCCAGATTTGCTCATTAAACAAGAGCTGCTTATGAACCAGAAGCAAGAGTTGCAGGCCTACCAGAAACAGGATCTCTCAGTCTACCAGGATGCAGACGAGGACATAGGTGAGCAACTGGTTTACTTTATATAAACCAGGCCGTTTTATATTGTCCATGGGAACGTTGGCATTTGAAAGGATTTGCCTGTTTTTGTTTCAGGTATGGTCAAGCTTCATAATTGACTCCATGGGTTGATCTGTTACCTTTTCAATGGTACCAAGCCTGGAAGATGACAGGTTCAGCTCAGTGGCAACAATGTACAATCATGCTTCCCCACCTTCAGTACATGGATAATCATAGTAAAATGTCAAAAGTAATTAGCCATGCCATGAATGAGACAGTCAGCAAAGGTGTCTTGTCGCTTGTAGTGCTGAGCAAATCTGGCAGTATCGCCCTCCATAATCAAAGGCTGCCGACTGAAGTCAAATAATTGAGCACAGATCAGTGGTTCAATCTGAGATGCTTCCTTGTTTAGTTGGTCACTTTAAACTTGTTGAGCCATAGAAGAGTGTGTCTAGATCTCTGTATCCAAACTGGAGCTTACCCTTACCTTCTATTGTTTTTATTTTGAAAAGTTTAAGAAATTATGGCTAGGTAAGTGGGAGCAACAATAGCCTCAAACATTTCTCTATTCCACAAAACAAAATATTTTTAAAGTGCTTAATTCAATAGCCTTGTTGTCAAATATGTGGCTGGATGCCAGACATTGAAGGTCCTGATGCATCTAATTTGGACAAGGTATTCACTTTCTTGTGGCACATTTTCTTTTCTCATCATCTGCCTGATCTTGGAGGTGCTGGTTATTGCAAGAGTTCCAATTTTTTTTCATGTACAATCCTAGGCAGGGATGCTCCATCTTGAATGACTTTTGGGGTGGGGAGAAGACCAACACTAAACTTAATCCAGTCTTTACCTGATATCCACATATACGGTCCAGCAAAGTAATCAATAGCAAGAAACTGAGATATCTCTCTCTCTCCCCATCTTATCAGTTAATTGTGCTGGATCACGAATGACAGTTAGAATATTCCTCTAGGTCCTTGAACTTGTCAAACTTTCAGCCTGTGAACTTCTTATCAAGAAAAAGGACCGGAGAGAACAACTGTGCTTGAGTGGCATTGGTTGTAATGGATGTAATAAAAAGGGGCCACTAATCTCACTTAATTTGAAGTGAGAAAGCTTAAAAAGAATCCTACACCTAACAGTTTTCTTGACAGCATCCCTTCTCCCACCCCCACTTTCTCAGCATAAACTTGCATTTATCTGGGGAGAGTGTGATGCAGAAGTGAAGTTGGCAGCAATGTTTATCCTAGTTCTTGGCTGAAAGCACTTAACTGACTTATGGTTTCACTTCCATTATGGAGTGTGGGTAAGAATGAGTACAAATTAAAATAACACAGAAAGCTTTCTTAATGCTATTTCAGCCCTGCTTAAATCCCAGTGATCTCTGTTGGTCCAGTTGTCTGTCTTTCAGCTAGGACTGTTGCAGCCACTGTGGCAGGTCACCAGTATAAACATGTTGGTGCCAGTGTTTTGCTATTACATCAGCTGCTGCTCCCATCGCTGCTGCAGGATGCGGTTGCAGAAATTGACACTTTTTTTGTCTGTCAGAGCTATTCAGGACACGCCAAAATCAACAGCAAAATGTTAGTTTGCGTAACCTCCAGTGAGGTGAGTTTCCAAACCAAGCCTTTTTGACAGAAGCTTGATTTTTATTTTTTAACATTGATCCAGGGGAATTTAGTGCAGTGCACCTTTCTCAAATAAAATGTTCAACATTGTACCTAGTGACGCTAGCTAGTTTGTTTGCTCGAGGTCGACCAGGTTACGATACTAGCACAGTTTGTCAATCCACTAGCTGTGCCTTAGTTGGTTTTAAAACCTAGTTGGTTTTAGCCCCATGACTCGTGCTATGAAATAACTAGCTTTTATTTGCCTGACAAATGTATGTCGCTCTTCAGTCTTTGTCCTGAATTAAAATGCAAGATGTTTTCCACTGCAGTGCTGAATACAAAAATTGAATAGTAGAAATCTGAAGTAAAACACTATAAAACTTATGACATCTTATGAAATTTTATGACCTCTGAATTTTTTACTGGAGTGCCATGGGGCCAAAATTTTGAAACTTTAAGAAAGAGTGATGGTGTCATATCTCTCAAAGCTTGCCAAAATGTTATCCTCCTTCAGATGTATTGTCTAATCATTCCAAGCGTTTGCAAATTTTCTTTATATTAATTTTGGATAAGCCAGCATTTAATGCTTTTTCCTTCATTTGAAAGCAAATGTCTTTATATGGTTCATGTTCTATAATGTACCAAAATGTTACGGCCAGTGAGGTGAATGTGAAAATCTTCGCTCTTGAAGCTGAAAATGGTCAGTCTGATGAAGGGTTTAGGCCTGAAACGTCAGCCTTTCTGCTCCTATGATGCTGCTTGGCCTGCTGTGTTCATCCAGCTCTGCACCTTGTTGTCTCAGTCTGTTGTCTTTTTTTTCACCTTCTCAGACTGCCTGTGTGCATTTTCCAAAAGGCTGTATCACGTTTTATTTCAAACTGATTTCTATTCGTGTTAAAATCTGATCAGAAGATACAGACTAATCTCCCAAGTGTGTTTTTTAAATTGCACCTATTGATGGCTGTAATAAACAGTCAGGCAGGAGGAGATCACTGGCGCATTTATCTCCTCCGATGCTATCAGTAGGATTTTAGTAATGTAATGGGCTTCACAAATTTCCATAGTGCACCAGTTGAAATGTCGTCTTCTAGAATTTACGTTACTAAATTTGGGTAATGTGTGGAGACAGCATTTTGATCTGTTAAAATGGTGATGACCGCTGTGCCACTGTTGAGGTCATAGTAAATTAAGAGGACCACATGCTTGAACTTTATAATACAATATTAAGAAGCCTTGATTTATGTTAGATCTTAGTCTTCGAGCATTAGTATGGTGGTATTAAATATTCTGTGACTTTGCATTTTCTTGTTACAGATTTTTTTATTCCACAGCATTGAATGTATAGAAATTCACATCTCCAACTAATTAATGTAGAGCTTTTGGATTAGGTAATGCAGTCAGTGGTCCAAGGATTTATTTGATTATAAGGTGTAAATCATGAAATCTTAAGAGTTCGTATTGATACTCAACCACACCTAAATCAATCTCATTCATTGGTTGCCTTAAATAATTAATGGACAATTTTTTAAAAAGCAGAAAAGGGATAGGCATGCCAGCATATTGTCCATATACAGCTTCCCAGCATTACCATAAATTGTATGTCTAATGCAATCTCCATGACACAGATGAGGGTCCAGTGGCTTATGTTATGTGACACTAAATCACAAAGGTATTTGCTGAGATCTGCCTCTTTCTTCTTCTTTTTTCTTTTTCTTCTTGCTCCCTCCCTAACCACTCGTTTTCCTGCTCTGGACTTTCCCCGCATCGTTTGCGGGGCCCCCTACCCTGTTGCCTCTCTCCTGCTCAACATCGCACTCTTGGCCCAGCCCTAGCCCCAACCCTGCATTCTCTCTTTTGGCCTTGTTCCCACACACTCACTCAAATTATCTTTTTCCCCACCTGCTCTCTCCTCCTCACCCCTGCACTCTCCATTCTCTTTCTGCCCCCCCACCACTCCATCTCTTCTGCCTGCTTCACACCATCTCCCTCTGCACTTACACTCTTTACGTCCCTGCAGATCCACCTCACTTGAGAGAGGCTTTGTTTCTTTCTTCAGGGTGAAGCTTATGTACCTTAGTCCTTCCTATTATTGAGTTCTATCCAACAACGCTCGTTCTTTGAAAGGTGAGTGAAAAGAATTGGTGCCTAAATGGTACATCAAAATGTTTGAGACCATCTCGATAAAGATGTTGTCACCCTGTAGCAATTAAAGCATTTTTGTTGATCACTTCTAAAGTTGGAAGTGGTAGATTGTTATAATTAAGAGAAAGGCAACCCATTGAAGTAATCTCCAAATTGGAGTTGTTCAGATATTTTCTGTTGGAGCAACTATGCTGCCCCTTGTATTCTAATAGCTGCAAAGAAAGGGCTTCAATTTTGATGACTAGATAGGGCTTTTCTGTGATGGTGATTGGTTGAGTTTACGTATAGCAGCAGATACTTGGGCATTGTTCTTGATCAGTTGGAAAGTGTGAAACTCCAGATTAATTGGGGGCTGACAGATACTAGTATGGAGCTGTATAATATTACGATTGTGTTCAATGAAGTAGACTTCCTCCATGTTCTTTTGCACAGATTTTGTCTGAACTAAAATGTTTACAGTCAGTGTATAGACATAGTTGCATAAATGTGTAGACCTATACTGTATAGTTGATGCAAGAGGAAGGTATTGAACAAATGAGCTTGGCTGTATCAGCCAGTTATGATATCCAGCTGCTGTAGCATGCCTGCCTTGATTACTGCCCTGGTATTACATCAACATCTTGCATTATTGGCCTTATTTAATTCCCTACTAACTACCCTCAAATATGGTCAGCTTTCTGCAAGCATTGTTTTTGAAGGAAAGCATGAGATGCGAAATCATTTGCTCACTAGCTGTCATTGGGAGAATGAATATTTATGTTCCCTTTGGGGAAGTTTTGAAGTAATTTAAATGTAGTTGCTGGGATGCAACAATTCAGAGGATTTGCCCAAGTGGTAAGGAGTATCAGCTCTAAATTGCTATTCCACAGGAGAGTCTCCTCTGACTTCCCAGTATGAACTGGGAATGATGAACTGCCCCTGAGCACAAGTTGAATTTTTTTTTCTATTCATTTGTGGGATGTGGGCGTCGCTAGCTGGTTAGCATTTCTTGCCTATTCCTAGTACCCTTGAAGGTGGTGGTGAGCTGCCTTCTTGAACTGCTGCAGTCCTCCTGCTGTGGGTTGACCCACAATGCTATTAGAGAAGGAATTCCAGGATTTTGACCCAGCGACAGTGAAGGAACAGTGATATATTTCCAAGCCAGGATGGTGAGTGACTTGGAGGGGACCTTGCAGCTGGTGATGTTCCCATATGTCTGATGCCCTTGTCCTTCCAGATGGAAGGGTCATGGGGTTTGGAAGATGCTGTCTG